ACTCAGTCAGCTCGTCACTACATTAGTGGATAAGCATCTGAATATATGCGAAAAATGGTCTAAAACCATACTCTCTGACCCCTAACACCCCCTCTATTCCCAACTCTCTCCTTGCATCTTATCAGGTAGAACCAGAAATCAGTACAAAATAATATATGCTCGCACAACCAAGTATAGGAACTCAACGATACCATATTCGGCCCGTGTTCTAAGTGACAGAGACAGTGTTAAGCGTGAAACCTATGACTTGCTTTGTTGTTAATAACATAATTTTGGCCCTTGTTATTTCCCCCTTATAATCTCTTATTTGTACTCCATAGTGAACAACCTTCTTAAACATACTTAGCTACTTAAAATTATTATCATTGGCTTACTTTTTTATTATTTATTCTATTCCTTCTTTTGTATATCTACTGGGTCGGACTATATTATCACTATGATTATTACAAAATTGTCCTGTCATTAACCATCATGTAATATCAGTTTTGTGGTTGTTTTTTGTTCGGCAATATTTAACTGACAATCTTGTTTGTGAACGCCAATATCACCATCTTAAAATTTTGTATTATGCAGGATTACTCACACTACCACTACAAACACTGCATTAGTGCTGACAATAAAAAAAACAACCTGAAATGTTTATCTTATGATTGTTTAGTGTTGTTCAATCAAATTAACTGATCATCTTAGCTATAAACGTTCTTAAGAACATCTCATAATTTCTTGTATGATTATAGCTGTTACTGTTCACCGCGCATACACACATCATAGCTTCCACTACCCAATACTGAAATATTTTTCATTATTGGTGTTTATCGTCCTTTCTACTTAGTATTTTTATTTGCATTTTTTTGTTATTTTTGTGTTTCATTTTGGTTTTTGTTGTTTTTTATAATTATTTTTTGTAATACTCCTTTTAAATGTTTGATGAAATTAGATGCAGTATTGTAGATATGTGCTGAAAATTCCACTGTCTGTCTGTCTGTTTTCGACATAGAACTTTGCACAAATGTGCGGAAGTTCAAGTCGCCACACTCCGTGTAGCACGCGAAGCAAGAGAAGATTGTACAAGAAAAGCATAATAGAAACAGTGAGCAGAGGTGTGAGACAAAGGAGTAATAAAGAAAAACAAAACAGTTTCATTGGAGATCATAAGTCACAAGGAGTGGATGCATCTGCGCCACTGAGAACGATTTTGAGCCATGTCACCAATTGTTTCCAACCATAGATTTTTACCGTCCCGAGGACCCCAACCAGGAAGTCTACACCTTCCTACGTGGCTTAGACCAACTGTTGTGGATTTCATTGACTGGTGCCAAGTTTTTGTTTGACCGCCGCTAGCTTTCTTCCAGCCTGACCCTATATCCGCTAACATTGCTCGTCGAGGGAGGCGATGACTTGGCATACGTAACACATGTCCTAACCATCTCAGAATTTGTAGCTTCACGACTTCGTCGATTGATTTCCCCTGTTTACCTAGAACTCTACGCCTAACCTCAATGTTGCTCACCTTATTATGCCACTTTACACGGGAAATAGAGCGCAGGCACCTATGATCAAAGACAGCTAGTCTTTTCATGTCTTCCACTCTCAGTGGCCAGGTCTCACAGCCATAAAGGAGGACGGAGCGGACTGATGAGCAGTACACCCGCCCTTTGGTCGATAGTCGAACATCTCGTCTACGCCAGAGTCGGCGTAAACTGGCAAATGCGAAACGAGCCCCTTGTATTCGTGCTGAGATTTCGTCAGAGATCAGCCCGTTGGGGCTGATGGTACTTCCCAAATAAGTGAAGCGGTCAACGTGCTCTACCACTTCACTTCCTATTTTTAAACTAGGCGTCGATGTAGTCCAGTCCTGTAACATCATCTTGCATTTGGCGGGAGCGAATCGCATGCCAAACATTCGTAGATTGATGCTCAAGGTGTTTAGAAGACTCTGCATTTCGTCAGCGTCTTCGCCTAGAAGGACTATATCGTCTGCATATTCCAAGTCAACGAGATTATTCCCCGGTAGCAAGTCAATCCCTGAGTCGCTGAAGTCACCTAGGGTTAAGTCCATTAACACATCTATGATGAAGTTGAATAGAAAAGGAGATAATGGGCATCCTTGACGGACACCACTGGTCGTCATCAGTTCAGATGACAGCTCGCCGTAAGCCCTCACCTGGCTGTATGAGTACGAGTAGAGTGCCTTAATCAGTGCAATATATTTTCTCGGAATTCCCTTTACAGCCAAGCATCTCCAGAGAACTTCCCGATCGACAGAGTCGAATGCTGCCTTTAGGTCAAGAAATATAATGACTGTTGGACGCCGGTAGGAATGCCTATGTTCTAGAATCTGTCGGAGGGTGAAGATATGATCAATACACCCTCTTCCTGGTCTAAAGCCTGCCTGGCTCTCTCGTGTTTGTGCTTCCCGAGCACCACTCAGTCTACGCATGATTATTGAGCCTAAGACTTTAGATACTATATTAGTCAAGCTAATCCCTCTGTGATTATCACAGGAAGACTTGTCTCCCTTCTTGTATATGGGGATAATCAGTGACTTACACCAACCCGATGGGACTTCTTCTGATTCCCAGACGCTGCCTAGTACCTCAGTTAATCCGGACAGTAAGCTGTCTCCACCGTACTTAAATACCTCTGGAGTCATTCCATCAGGTCCCGCTGCTTTGCCTAGTTTCAGATTGGTGACAGCTTTAGTAACCTCAGTTAGTGACGGAGGACCTGTGTTTATATCCCATTCAGGGAGGTGTTGGATGCTCGGAAGGTTGAGCGTGGCTGTGGGCAAATTAAACTGCTCCTCATAATGCTCTTTCCAACGATCCAGTCGTCTATCCTGTGAGCTAATTATAGTGCCATTTTTTTCCGAGATTGTCTCACTGATGATTTGTCTTCTCCCACCCGTTTCCCTGATGAGTGTAAAGAGTTGCCTGGTGTTGCCTATCCTCGAAGCTTTCTCCATCTCTTTGGCTTTTGTCGCCCACCACTGTTCACGGTCCTTGCGGAGACTTTTCGTAAGTTTCCTCTTGTGCAGCTTTCGCTCCTCATTGAATTCGGAGCTCGCCGGAATAAGTCTTCTAGCATCTATCAGTTCGGATGAGGCGGTGGAGATCCAGTGGTTTTTACTCACCTTTGGGTTTACCTTATTCACAGCTTTTACAGCTGTATCTATGGCTGCCTGGATATTTTTCCAAGCTTCTTCAGGGTGAGCACAGCTGTCGAACACAGATATGTGTTTAGCTAGTTCTTCCTCAAATACGGATTTAGTTTCCTGATCGAGCTGGGGACGTGATGGTTTTACCGCCAGCTGTTTCCTACGTCCGTTCAGTCGTAAGCACACCCGAGCGCGGACCAGTGCATGGTCGGTATCTACGCACGTGTTCCAGAAGGAGCGACAATCTCCTACCGACCCACGCCAACGAAAATTCCACACTGTACCACAAGTACTGTTTCTGGAATAAAAGCGAAATTATTATTGATTGGAGTTAAAGTCGATATTTGTACCAAGTATAATTGTTGATTCTGAGCGTCTTCGGAAATAATAGGAACTTAGGTTTAAGTCCCTTGAAAAGCCCTTTGTTTCACTGTGAACTCGATGGAATGAAAAACAAATATTTTAGTAGAGAATTCAAAAGTATCAAAAAATTTATCTAGAATGTAAATATTCATTTCGTTGAAAATGAAGAATTGTGGAGTAAAATGAGTTACCATCTCAGGTGATTGTTATTTTCAGCTTTTTAAATATTAGTTAAACTGCTCAAAATTGAATGGTGCGCAGTTTTGGGAATCTCAATAGGACTTATTTCTTCATGGAATGTCTTTTCTGATAAATACATCTTAGAACAAAATAGTTAGAGCGAACAACTGTTTTCGAAAAATTCTTCTTCAGGCTCTACAGTTATAAATCCATATATATTTAAGCATACAATAGCCAGCTAGTAAAGATAAATCTTTAGAAAGACTAGCTGCATATTTAGACTGTTAAGTGATCTTAGTATAAGAATGCAATGTCTAAGTTGTCAATTCAGAACAAAAGTATTTAGAGCTGAAGAGGTAGCAATCAATACCAGAAGACCGACTCTTTATATACAGAGGAAGTATGTTCAACCGCTATGTTTACCTAGGCCTACAATAAGGCTAACAAATCGTCTATAAACATTAGCACTTTATATTCTTATCACAATTTTCTTATCACCTGCTTCTATTCTTTTGTTACACTGACAAACGTTCATTTTTGACCTTTTATGATTTTATTACCTTATCATATTTACAATATCCTGTTCATTCCGCTTCACTAAATTTATTATTATTTTATAATCATTCGCCAACAATACTTTTAAGTTTATACTACATCATGGTTATTATTTCACAATCATTATTAATGTTGTTATTTTCACGCTTGAACTTACGTCTAATCCAACACATTATTTGGTTTATTTTCTGTAGTATTCATATTGTCTCATACAACATTGACTAATTTCACCCTTGAAACCTGTACTTTTGTTGCCTATATTTAAATATATGCACATACATTAAATTATTTCGTCTCATATTTTTATTGACCATGCATATTCAAAAACTAACTGACTATTGTTCCATCCCATCTTATACTTGTTCCACAATGCACATTTCTCATATGATTCTAATTTGCTTTACTAACTGGCTATTGTATGCTTAAATTAATGGATTTATAACTGTAGCGCCTGAAGAAGAACTTATTGACGTCAGTGGTTCAGTGCTAGAGTACTTGCTAGTCTCCTTAATAGTCTAAATTCCATTCCTATTTGGTGAGCTCCTGAACCTCACCTAATTTAATTACCAACAATAAGTCCGGAAGAAAGATAAGGCTGGATGTGTGACTAATAACCCCTTTATGTAGTAGTATTCAACAGTGCTACTGAAACTTCAAAAAGAGCTTAAAGCATTATGTTCTAATTAGAAAGCAAGGAACTGAAAAAGAAAAGAAAAATGTAGACTCATCAAATAACTATCAAGTATAAAGTGATAATTTATTTTTATAAATACAATTCAAGAACTTATTGAATAGTCTCATAGAAAGAAAAAAAGTGATGTGTCATTTGGTATCATGAAAAAAAGTTCACTTTAAAGGTGTATGAAAAAATATCTGTCAAAAAATTTTATAAATATACAATTTCAGTAAGGAATGTGTCGTAGTCTATTTTATGCACATTAGAGAATTCTCATTAAAAATATGATTTACAAAAATCTCAACAAAAACGGGTAAATAAACAGGATGATATGCTCACATCTGTCTATGTCTGCAAACATGTACAAAATTATTCGAAGAATTAATAAATATTATGTAACATAACCTGTATGTTATATCAGTTTGCAAAAATAAAAACAAGAAAAGACAAAAGGAAAGGCGTATATAAAGATCGTAATCAGCTGATTAGTCCTGATGTCAGCTAACTGAAATCTACCAATCATATTTATAATTAATTTGTCTACAGTAAGCTACTTGGCGCTACGCCTACGCATTTGTAAGCAGCTTACACTTCTTCTGATTGGTAGATTTTAGTTTGTTGATATTTAAGGCAATCAGCTGTCTTATTAGGAAAACTTATCCACTTCAGTAGTTACCAAATTTAGAACATATTTAAAGTTCTGCATTTCTGTGTTTGATATATTTTTTTTCAAAAAACAAGTGACTTCCTGTTTTATTAATTTACACAATTCTTTCATTTTTTTCTCTTGTGTGTTTGTAATTTTCAGAATGTGATATCTTAATAAAAAATAAGATAAACTAGAAGAATAACATTGTTTTATAGTTTTACTGCTCAGTATTCCAATAAAAATGGGAAACTGAACTACAAATATATAAATATAAATATTTTAAACCGTTCATGTATTTTATTCAAATTCAAAAGTGTGTTGGAGAAGTTAGTGATGTGGCAGTTGCTGGTGGCGATGTCGACGCTGGTGATGACAATGATAGTGAGACAGTTCTTGAAATTCTTGGCAGTTGTAATTCATCATTCTGTGAAGTTATACTAATCTCTTCATTGAATGGATTTGTTAATAAATTTGACAAGTCAATATTATTCTCTTGTTTTACCGTGTCTATCAATTTAGCATCTGTCAGTTCTTGTGGTATATCCATATGATTATATAAAAATTTTATTAAATTATCTAGCGTTGTTTTAATTTCATTTTGAATATATTTTAAATGATCAAAATCTGTGAATAAAGCTTGATCATATAAATGCATTGAGTAGAGTGATATCGGGGATGTTGGAAGAGATGATCTTGTAGAATAATAGGCTGGATGACTTGAATTTCTTCTAGGTTGATATGAAGTATACGGTTGACAGGTATGCTGAAAGTCTGTTGTAGTTGGCGCTAGTGTTTCTGTTACTGATGAAGAGAAATCAAACAATGAGCTAGCCTGTAGACTAGTCCTTCTATAGGTGTTATTTTTATCTTGTATTGTTGAACTATTATTGAAGTACATATCTAAGTGTGTTGCACACATACTCAGTGATTTGATACAATTCCCGATAAGTAAATGAGTTTCTTCATTCAATTCATTTTTATTATCCTGAATATCTTCTATATTTAAAGATGATGAAGAGGAATCCATTAAACTTCTAGGAAGATGATTCTGGGGATTTGGTTGTACTGTTGTATCCATAAATGATGAATCTGTACTGTCATTATCATTATGATTATTATTATTGATATTTTTCATATTGATCATTCCAGTACTATTGTAAACGGATGATAATGAAGGATATTTTATTCCAGATGCTTGTAAATGAATATTTGCAGTTGATTTTGTTGTTACATAACTTGTGAATAAATTACTCAGACTAGTTGTCAAATTTGATATCTTCTTTGAATCATTATGATGATAACCATTGTAATGCATAGAATAATTTGTGTTGTTAGTTAATTGTGGTACGGATAAATGCAAATCTGTGTAATTACTAGAGGCATCATGATTGACGTTTGGTTCGATGAAGAGTGAGGCATTCATGTGATCATCATTACTATTGGTATTATAGTGATCATGATTAAGACTTACAGAACTACAACTTGTACGACCTTTCCTGTGATGAAATTTACTTTCAATGACTGATGAATTACTACTATTATCATCATTATTATTAGTAGTAGTATTGTTATTTAAAAGTTGAACATTATCATTATTCCCTGTGAAATGTTTACTTAACTTTTGTAGACTTAATAAGTCTGTGATAGATACACCTCTGCTAAGCATTAATGATTGTTCATAATCTTTAAAACTTTTACTACGTCGTATTGTACCAACAGTTGTACCGTTATTGTTAATATTATTATCATTATTACTACTGTTAGTATTATTAGTAGTATGATTTGTGTTTTCTGTCTCTCGATAACTGGTCGATCGATTAAGCATTGGGGAATTTTGTATTTTCAGTCTTATTTTATCACGTATACATGGAAGTGATAATACGGAATTAAATTTCTTATAGTTGTGAGAAATATTATTCGTATTGTTAGTTTTACGGCCAATACTTGATCTATCTCTGTAATTCATATTTTTTATATTACCATCATTACTGGACTGACTATTTCTATGGCTCATATTACAATTAGAATGAGGAATATTCTTGGGTATATTGTTATTCGGATGATTCTCATCATTGCTGTGATTACTACTGTCATCTGTGTAATAGTTATAAGCATTTGGTGGTTTATAGTATAATTGAGGCTTATATAAGTGTAACGCGAAGTAGACTAAATAGGTAACATCTATACCAGTTGGATAATTCATGAGTAAGGTTAAGCACTCGGCGAATTCATATTTCAATAGCAGGGGAGCTAAACGTAACAGCATACTTAAATACATATATGGTACAAAGGCCAAATTATCATTAATAGCAAATATACAATCCCATATGTATAATAAATCTTGTAATGGGAATTCATGCCCAAATAACAAACGTATCCATCGTAGACCAAACAACTTTGGTTCAATATCTAAATGTTTTAAATATTTATATAATTTTGGATGATGTTTTAATACTAATTGCTTATGTATCTCTTCAACATAACAATAACCTGAACAATTGTGTTTCGCGTGTTCTTTTTCATCAAAGTAGAATCCTGACTTCTGATGTTCTCCTTCTTGATAGTGTTGTTGTTGTTGATGATGATGATAGTTATAATATTCATCTGTATTCGATCGTCTTCGGTTTGTTTCGACGTCATCGGTAGTTTTATCTTCTAGTTCATTGTGATCGTAATAAAGTTGAAAATAATTTGACTTATCAGCATTAATGTTACCACTGTTATTATTATGAGAAACTCTTCTCCTCTCTTTTGATGATTGGTTTATATTGTTTTCTTGTATTCCGTTTGGCAGTTCTACCGAGGTAAGTCTTCTAATTCCCTTCTCTTTGTTATTACTAGCATTATTATTAATATTATTACTACCGCCATGGTTATTAAGATTGATTGACTTATTGATCACTTTTGATTGAGGATACCAATGTTTAATTGAATTCATTACTTTAGCAAATATTGTATAAACATCAGCTTGAAAATATTCTCTATTCAATACATAATTTAGTGTATTCCATAAATCTGATGAAATAAGCTTCATTTCTTGTACATGTTCAAATGCTATAAGATCACAGTGTAAAACAAATAATAATGGTGCCAGTATCTCATGCATACCTTGTTCATAAGATATATTTTGATGTTCTGTATAAATATATAACAAGTTAATCATAATATCACGAATTTTTTGACTACGAAAATATTGTACATTTGGAAATGTTCTATCCACATCTTTAGCTATACATCGTTTAATTTGTAAACCATGAAAATATTTATTCCATAAACTTGTTGTATTCGAAGATAATGGATGATCATTATTGAAATGATTTTCATTAGAATTATTATTATTAGTAGTAGTATTATGTGGATCAGGATTAATTTGATAACTCAATTTAGCAAAATATTCACGATCTGTTTTTAATTGTTTTGACCAATTGTTAACATCACTTGGTAGAATACCAAGAAATATACGCCAACAAATACTACGAAAACGGCATACACGTAGTTGGCCATTGATAGCATGATTAATTAAACGTGAGAAGAGATTATAAGCATTAGAGATATCTCCGGTAACTGAGTTGTTAGTAGGGATATTCGTGATACGCTTTGGACTGTTCAACTTTTCTTCAGAATTTAATAATACTTCTGTCTTTTCTTCATCATTTATACTGCTGGCACAATCGAATAAACAGAAAAATTCTCTACTATAAGAATTTGTACAACTTGGACTTTGTGTCCAGCCTAAATTTAGCAGTGATGTGTTTAAATTTAATTGTTTTGGTTTGTTGTAATACAACTTCTGATGATTGAAGGATTCCTGTTTAGTTATAGCAGCCGATTTGGATGATGACGATGGTAATGGTGAGGCTAGAGGTGATGACAGTGGCAATGGATTTATTGATGATAATAAAGTATTCCCTTCAGGTGATATTCTTCTTGATATTAAGGGAGATGAGGAGTACATGTGTTTGTTTTCTAATTGCCTCCATTCAACTCCTTCTTCTCCTTCTATGTGATTTATATTATTTTGAATTTTATTAGATGTTAACATTGTCAATAAATGTGAAAGTGTACGCTAGATATCATTTGATGTTAGCGGTATGACCTTTGTAAGTTAAAACAAGAAAAGTAATGATTGGAGATTATGTAACATACAAATAACTATAAACAACGAAACGTTTTGCATGTAAAAACACCATACTGACCAAAGTAGGGCCTCCTTCAGCTTAACACTCACCAATATGAAAGAGCTGTTAGAAGACACAACATATATATATATACCTTCAAATCAGTCAATGCAGAAAACTGTGGACACTGAATGTACAAATCTTAGACAAACAACCAGAAATGACAGGAGACTTCTAGAAGTTTGGGTGCTCAGATGAATCTGAAATCAACAAACATTGTGAAGAATCAGTTACATAACCAAGAGTAGTCCAGTTTTAAGACAGGAAAATGATTGATATTGATTCATGTCAGCAATCAGTCGCAACCAACATCGTCAAGAGAGATAATTATTTAATTATTCATGGGGAAATTAAATCAATTTCCGTCATATTGAAGTCTGTGTTGGAGCTGTTGTTCAGCACGATAACTGAACCACCAGCGGTCAAAGAGCATAACTACACAAATATCATTCACGTGTCTGTCCATTCATGAATCTAAATAGAGTTTTAAGATTCGACAGCTTCATTAAATGAAAAAAAACAAATGACGTGAGAATTGTCATGTATTCGCGCGGCCTGACTGTAAAGATATTTATTAGTTCAACTGATAAGAAAGTGAAGGAAGGAAAGGTCAATTAAAAAAACCAAAGTTCTGATAACAGGAGCAAAGAGGAATATAATAAGAATATATTACCTGCCAATACAAATGTAGTTAAAGGATATTCTCCTAAGTTTCTGAATGAGTATGATGTATATTTAAATTTTAAAACCTGCAGCTGATTCTCGACCAGAAAACTGTAGTTGTTTGTAGGTTATTTGGCTGATAGTGATCAGCAGAGGAATCCAGCATATACTTTGATTGAATACTAATTAGTAACTAGTGTAATGTGTCTAATCCTTTGTTTGGTGCTGACCGAATTCTATCAGTCAATTTTCTAGTGCGTCAACCATTATAAGTAGCTCACCATCATGGTGCGCTTTGAATTGTTGATATTAGATGCTAGGAGGCAATCGGCAGGAAGCCTTGGACCTAGGCTTCGTGCTAATCCTCACTCGTGACGCGGGTTCGAATCTCAGGAAGGATATGAGTTCCTTCAAGGCTGCAGATACGCTTTCTTTACTGGTGAGTGACAACTAGCACGGAACCTAAGTCCAGGACTTCCTGCCGATTGTCTCCAACCATTTAAAATCCAGGATATATATATATCAGTCCATTTGGAACTTGTCACAAGAATGCATCTGTAATCCGAAGTGGGTGATGATTTTCCCACTGACACTCGAATTTAGCAACCATAGTTTCAAACACCAAAGCGTTACACACTTGGCGACTTCTTATTCAATATGTAATCTTTACGTGTTTACAGTGAAAAAATTATTACCAATTATCATTCCCCCTACACTTAAATCTCATATTATTTTTCTACGAGTTTATATGATCGTCAAGTTACTCATTTCCAAACAAGTCAAGTAGATGTTTATTCAGGCTATTTGGATTATTCATAGTTCAAATACATCACAATTCTCAGATAAACCATAAATTTCTATATTGCCGTCTATATTTATTTAAGGGACTAAATATTTTAAATTTTGTTGAGTGTTAGTACAACTGTTATTTCATCAATTAAATTTCATTTATGAAATTTCCACTTATGAAATGTACCTTAAAGTATACGTAACTGGTGCATACAATACAGTATATATATATATATATATATATATATATATATATATATATATATATATATATATATAATTATACTTTTCTTCAATAGTCTGTAAACTGTATTTGTGTGCGCACTTTTTATGCAACAAATTACAACTACTTTCTAATTGATAAGTAGTACTCGTCAGCTGAATACTCTACATACACGGATATATATACTTTTGAAATTACATTGGGAGATATAAGACTGATAAGTAAACAAACTACATTGAATTAATCATGCAGAAAGACACGTGCGAATGTTTTCCAGGTCATGTTCAAATAGATAAGGGGAGAGAGAGTATGAGAGATCAAAATTAAGATAAATTGCATTACGCTTCAATTACATCACTTAGATAAACAATTAGTCACTAGGGAATATAAGGAGAATTGCAAACAGACTAATATCAATAGTAATAGTTATAATAACAGTTTTAATAGTGTTGAAGTGAGTTAAGATAATCTTACTGATAAAGCATAGTTTTAGATGAATCAAGAATAATAATAATGGTAATAATAATAACAATAGTAGTAAGAAGAAGAGGTAGAATAATAACAAGTAGAGAATAAAACGTATTACCATGGTAGATTAAGAGTAACGACCATCTCCTTTTGTATACAGAGAGCTGGTTTATAAATTCGAATTGCACAAGCCTCTGCAATTGCAAGCATCTTCTTGTTTCTTTGTTTGCTGACAATGGTAAATGACTTGACTGCGTCGATATCATGTCCGTAATCTACAAGATGTTTTGTTATTGAGGATTTTGGCACTTTGAACTCAGCTGTTTTCAACCATTTTGGCAAATGCTCCATCATGCGAGTAGACAATCGCCTTTCCGTACGACCTATGTATTTGCTGCCACAAACACACTCAAATTGATATATGCAGTTTGAAGTGTCGAGGATTGGCGACTGGTCTTTCCCAGATTGTTGAAGCACTCGCTTGGTGGTGTTAAGGATAACAAGTTTTGCAGCATAATAAGTTCTCTTGATGGCTTTGTCGAGTCTTCGTTTCACTACTTCTTGTACGTCATCTCCTTTGAACGGCAAATTGATATAGAGAGGTTTCTTTGGAACTGTTTGAATTGTTTTGCAGGGGGTAGTTTCTTTAGAGTATTTATTAATGAACTTCTCAGGATATCCATTCTTAGATAAAATATCCTTCAGAGATTTTATTTCCTGTTCAATAGTACTGTCAGAACAAATTTTCCGTGCTCTATTGAACAGTGTTCTGACTAGGTTCTTTTTGTACTGGATTGGGACAAAGCTCTTGAAATGCATGTACTGTCCTGTCCATGAAGACTTTCTAAATATAGATCTTTCGATTGTGCCATCATTCATTTTGGCTAGAAAAACGTCTAGGAATTTCATAGTATCGTTTTCCTCGTGTTCTACTGTGAAATTGAGATTTGGATGGCATGAATTGAATTTTATCAACATGTCTTCCGCTTTTGATCTGCTTTCACAGACAATAAAAATGTCATCAACATATCTTAGGTATACATTTGTTTCTTGTATATGTTGCTGCAAAGCACCGGTTTCTAGGCGTGACAAGAATAAGTCGGCGAAAAGTGGTCCCAAAGGGCTTCCCATTGCGACACCATCAACTTGACGGAACAGACGCCCGTTGAATTGGAATTGGACATTTTTAGTACATAAAAGTAGTAATTTCCTCAATTCCGATGTTGGAATGGGTATGTCTTCAGCTTCTTTACATATGAAGTCGATAGTCTCAACGACTGGCACATTTGTGAAAAGGGAGGTAACATCGAAAGAGACCAAATGCTTATCGGATACATTGAAATCTTTAATTTGATTGACAAATTGAAATGAATCAGAGACTATATGTGTTCCGAAACGTTTCAGCAATGGCTGCAACAGTTCACATAACCACTGTGCTAGTCTGTGGTGTGGTGAGTTTATCATAGAGAGTATGGGTCTTAACGGCGCTCCTGGTTTGTGTATTTTTACGCGTCCGTATAGTTTTGGGATTTGTGACCCAATCGGTTTGATATTTCTATATGTGTTTTCGTCAATGTATTTATTTTTGAAGAGTTGTCGTAGATGCTGCACAATTTTCCTTTCGGTTGATAACGTTTGGTCTTTTGCATGGTTATCCAATTTGAATTTAGATTCATCAGCGAGAATTTGATGCATTTTTTCGAGATAATCTATCTTGTTCATTAGCACTACACTTTGTCCTTTATCAGCTTGTAGGATAACAAGATTTTTGTCTTTTCGAAGCTTGTTAAGAGATCGCCAGTGTTCTTTGGTGATATGCGACTTTTGATTGGTCGGCATGACTCGAAATTGGTGAGCAATATCAACCATCTTTGCTTTCAACCAGCTTTCGCTGTCACTGGACGTGGCAGTTCTACCGAAATTTGATGAATTCATTAAATCCTGCTTTATTAACCTTTATTGCTTGTTTTAAATTCGTATCGGGAAATAAATGTTTTAATAAGTAGTAAAATTGGATTTGACACCAGTAACTAGTGTGATGTGTCTAGTCATCTCTTTGGTGCAGACTGAATTCTATCAGTCAGGTTGTAATGTGACCAACATTCTAGGTAGCTCGCCATCACGGTGCACATTGATTTGATGATATTCGATGCTTGCAGGGAATTGGCAGGAAGCCTTGGACCTAGGATTCGGGTTAGTTGGCACTTGTCAGCAAGGCGTATCTGCAACCGTGATGGCAAACTACCTAGAATGGTGGCCACATTCCAACCTGACTGACAGAATTCAGTCTGCACCAAAGAGAGGACTAGACACATCACACTAGTTACTGGTGTCCAATCAAAGTATCCACTACATTCTCACAGGGGGTCAATCACGAGCCCGAATAACTCAGTGGTAACGTCTCTGACTGCAGCACTGGGTGATGCGGGTTCGAATCTCAATAGGGATATGAGTTCCTTCAAGTTTGCAGATATGCCTTGTTGACTGGTGAATGACAACTACCACGAAACCTAGGTCGAAGGCTTCCTGTGGCCGATTGCCTCCAACCATCTAATAATAAGTAGTATGATGTGTTTGACTAAATTTCGAAAGCACTGATAGATGCTCATTAAAAGAGGTCGGTAGTCACTGCACCGATCCTACCATTCAATAATTTAAGCAGTAACCACTCAGAATACTTATTAGTTACATCATCTTCTTCCCTTTAAATATCGTAATAAT